AGCATTACCCTGTACCAAAAAAAGATAAAGACACCACACAAAAAAAAGAACTACAGAGCAGTATATCTGATGAACATAGATGCAAATATCCTGAATAAGTATTAGCACACCCAAACCAACAATACATTAAAAAATCATTCACCACGATCAAGTGGGATTTGTTCCTAGGATGCAAGGATGGTTCAATATTCTCAAATCAATGTAATACATCACATCAACAAAAGAAAGAATTAAAAAAAATATGATCTTTCCAATAGTTGCAGATAAAGAACCTGACAAAGGACAACTGCCCTTCATGATAAAAACCTTCAATAAAGTAGGTTTTGAGGGAATATACCTCAACATAATAAAGGCCATTATGAAAAACCCACAGTTAACATTATCCTCCATAGGGAGAAATCTGAGAGCCTTTCCTCTCAGGTCAGGTACAAGACAAGGATGTCCACCCTCACCACTTTAGTTCAACATAGTACTGGAAGTCCTGGCCATAGCTATCAGACAAGAAAAAGAAATAGGAGATACCCAAATTGGTAAGGAAGAAGTAAAACTTTCACAATTTGCAGATGAGATAATACCATACATAGAAATCTCTAAAGACTCCACCAAAAACCTACTGGAACTAATAAATGAATTCAGTAAAACTGCAGGATGCAAAATCAATGGACAGAAATCTGTCACATTTCTTTTTTTTTTTTTTTTAATGTTTGTTTATTGGGGCAAGGGAGGGAGAGAGAGAGGGAGGGAGGGAGGGAGGGAGAGAGAGAGAGAGAGAGAGAAAGAGAAAGAGAAAGAGAGGCAGAGAGAGAATCCCAAGCAGGCTCTGTGCCCCAGAGCCTGCTGTGGATGAGGTTTGAACACACAACCATGTGATTGTGACCCGAGTTGAAATCAAGAGTTGTATGCCTAACTGACTGAGCTACCCAGGTGCCCCTGTTGCATTTCTATACACTAATAATAAAGCAGCAGAAAGAGAAATTAAGGAAACAGTCCCATTTACAATTGCACCAAAAATAATAAAATATCTAGAAATAACCTTAACTAAGGAAGTGAAAGACCTATACTCTGAAAATAATAAAACCTTGGTGAAAGAAATTGAAAAGGACACAAATAAATGGAAAACCATTCCATGCTCCTGGATTAGAAGAATAAATATTGTTACAATGTCTATAATACTCAGAGCAATCTACAGATGTAATGCAATCCCTATCAAAATACCAATGGCATTTTTAACAGATCTAGAACAAGCAATCCTAAAATGTGTATGGAACCACAAAAGACCCTGAATCACCAAAGCAATCTTGAAAACAAAAAACAAAACTGGAGGTATCACAATTCTGGACTTCAAGTTATACTACAAAGCTGTAGTAATCAAAACGGTATGGTACTGGCACAAAAATAGACCCATAGACCAATGGAACAGAATAGAAAGCCCAGAAACGAACCCATAATGATACGGTCAATTAATCTTTGACAAAAGAGGCAAGAATATGCAATGGGAAAAAGTCTCTTCAACAAATGGTGTTGAGGAAACTGGAGAGCACATGCAGAAGAAAGAAACTGAACTTTCTTACACCATACATAAAAATACATTCAAAATGATGAAAGACCTAAACGTGAAATAGGAAATCATCAAAATCCTAGAGGAGAACAGAGGCAGCAATCTTTGACTTTGGCCAGAGCAACTTCTTACTAGACACATTGCCAGACACAAGGGAAACAAAAGCCAGAACGAACTATTGGGACCTCATCAAGATAAAAATCTCCTGCACAGCAAAGGAAACAATCAACAAAACTAAAACCCACCCTACAGAATGAGAGAGGATATTTGTAAATGACATATTGGATAAAGGGTTAGTATCCAAAGTCTATAAAGTGCTTATCAAACACAACACCCGAAAAACAAATAATCCAATTAAGAAATGGAATAATCCAATTAAGAAGACATGGATAGACATTTTTCCAAAGAAGACATTCAGATGGCCAACAGACACATGAAAAGATGCTCAATATCACTCATCATCAGGGAAATACAAATCAAAACCATATGAGATACCACCCTGCAGCTGTCAGAATGGCTAAAATTAACAACACAAGAAACCACAGATATTGTCAAGATGTGGAGAAAGAGGAAACCCCTTACAAAGTTGGTAGGAATGAGATCTGGTGCGGCCTCTGTGGAAAACAGTATGGAGGTTCCTCAAAAAGTTAAAATTAGAATTATTTCATGACTAGCAACTGCACTATGAGGTATTATTTATCCAAAGGATACAAAAATAGTGATTTGGAGGGGCACATGCACCCCATTGTTTACAGCAGCATTACCAACAATTGCCATATTATGGAAAGAACCCAAATGCCCATCGATTGATGAATGGATAAAGAAGATGTGGTACACATATATCATGAAATATTATTCAGCCATCAAAAAGAATGAAATCTTGCCATCTGCAATGATGTGAAATCCCGCCATTTGCAAGAGCATATTATGCTAAGTGAAATGAGTCAGTCAGAGAAAGACAAATACCATATGATCTGACTTACATGTGTAATTTAAGAAACAAAACAGATGAACATAGGGAAAGAGAAAAAAAAACAGAGCTGGAAGCAAACCATGAGACTCTTAACTACAAAGAACAAACAGAGTTGCTGGAGGGAAGATGAGTGGGGGATGGGCTATTAAGGAGGGCACTTGTATTGAGCACTGGGTATTATATGTAAATAATGAATCACTAAATTATACTCCTGAAACCAATATTACACTATATGTTAATTGACTAGAATTTAAATAACAATTTGAAAGAAAAAATAAAAACATCCAGATGGCCAACAGACACATGAAAGAGGCTCAACACCACTCAGATCTTGAAAATGCAATTCAAAACTACAACGAGATATCACCCCACACCTGTCAGAATGACGAAAATCAAAAACACAAGAAATAACAAATGTTTGGCAAGGATGTGGAGGAAAAGGAACCCTGGTGTGCTATTGGTAAGAATGCAGATTGATGCAGCCACTGTGGAAAACAATATGTAGTTTCTTCAGAAAATTAAAAATAGAACTACCATATAATGCAGTGATCACACTACGAGGTGTTTTCCCAAAGAATAAAAAATACTAATTCGGAAGGTTATATACACCCCTGTGTTTATGCAGCATAATTGCCAATAGCCAAACTATGAAGGCAGCCCGTGTCTACTGACAGATGAACGGGTTAAGAAGATGTGGTACATGTACAATGGAATATTATCCAGCCACATAAAATGCGACGTTGTCATTTGCAAGAACATGGACGGAGCGAGAGTATAATGCTAAGCAAAGGCAGTCAGTCAGAGAAAGGCGAATACTATATGGTTTCACTCGTATGTAGGATTTGAGAAACAACACAAAGGAAAAAAGCAAAGAGAGAGAGACAAACCAAAAAACAGACTCTTAACTGCAGAGAACAAACAGATGGTCACCAGAGGGGAGGTGAGTGGGGGGGATGGGTGAAATAGGTGAAGGGGATGAAGAATACATTTATCCTGATGAGCAATGAGTGATGTATAGCATTGAATCATTCTATTGTACACCTGAGATTAATATAACACGGAATGTCAACTATACTGGTTTTAAATGAACAACAACAACACTGAAAACTAGCATACTTTCTGCCTTCCCACCCCAGGATACAACCAACATCAGCAGAGCCCTAGCTCGGAGGCAGCTGTGAGAGAAATTATCTCATGGCTTCTGAAACAAACACCTAATTGCACTGAGATGGAATGGTCCTTGGACATGGAATTCTGAATTCTCAAATCCAACAGTGAGCGGTCCACTGGTATATCTCTCATGAATATCTTGGGTATTTTAATGAAGGTCCACAATGATCCCTATCTACACAGCTTGCCTCTAACTGTATTCTGTATCGTAGTCTGATCATCTCTTAGTTCTTGGGGCGACTGAGCCTTCAAGGGGCGCACATGTTTACGCCACTTTGAAAAGTGGAATCATTGTTCTCCACTTGCAACGGAAACTGCACTGCTAAAATTTCCCAGCTCCTGTCTCCCACCTCAAAATTGTTCTCGGCATAACATGCTTTTCCCTGGCTTATTTCCTAGGTATGACAGCTAGGTAGCACGATTTAATTTTATTTCAGCTTTTAACAGGAAATGCAAATGAACTGTAGAAAACTACATCTGTCATTCAGATTGTTGTGCAAACAGGTCCAGGGAAAGGTCTGCGCGGATAACTATGGCTCCAGATCTCAATTCCTTCTTTGAAAGTTGGGACGTTTATCCAGATCACGGGTGGGCTGGTCCCTTGGTAAATTCACATCTCCCTTTATATTGTGACTTCCAAAGAGGAAGCGTGTTGGAAGTAGGAAATGCTACTACACGACATTCCGAGAGCCCTTGGTGTGCGAGACAGGGCATTCTGATACAGATTTTTGAAATGGCATTTCATTTTTCATGTCTTGCCAAGTACAAAGAAATGTGCAAAACAAACATTCTGATTCCATCCCTGGCATTCCATTTCCTCTTGGAGTTCCAAAGAGCTGGCAGACACGAATACAACGAGGATGGAGAGTTCACATGACTTTTATTTAAAATTAAATAATAGATCCTTATGGTTACAAGCAAACACCACCAACACTTGCGCCATGGGACATGCCATTTCTTCATTCTAGGCAAGAGTTTGTGACCCCCTAGCCCAGGACTCTGTACCGAACAGACAAGCATTCCTTACGGCGGGTCATAAAATTCTCTCCCTTGGCTCTACATCCGTAATGTCATCATCATTGCTGAAACGGGCCGAGTCCCTATTTTTGCCTCATCACCACATAGATATGGTAGCATGTCTGCCCTGAAGGGGCCACCTGAGCTGTCATACTACACGCTAAGGTAAAATGGTGTTTAGAACCTACCTGAACAAACTGAGTCATCAAGAAGCATCACTTTTTGGCACAATTTATTTAGTAGGCATGACTTGGTAGTTACATTCATGAAAAGCATCCTTACCCGAAAAGTGGAGAGTATTTGTACTATTCAAAAAACTGAAAATATATTCCGTAAAATAGTCTGGCGAAGGCAAGTCTCTTTGACCCAGACAGACACCTTGGAGGGACAAAGCGATGATCATCGCTGCCAACTGAGGAAGCGTGTTTTCATCAGCACCATCCCTGCTCAGTATTCCAGACTTCTTCTGTAGCATTTTGGTTTCCATACACTGAAATCAGATGCACAGTCAAAAGAAAAAGCTTGAACCTCTAAAATTACTTTGATTAAAATATCTCTAGGGTTTCCCCAAAAGACAAGTAACGGTTTTTTGCCTTAAAGAGGTCTGAACTATTGGGAGGAACATGACTGCCATCATTCTCTAGTCTCAGAGAGGATTCTGTTTGGAAAATGCTTGTTTCTTTTACCTGCCCCGATACTGGATTTTCAAACTCCCATCCTAACTGGTCCTCAGTCACCTAACCTTTCTCTTTATTCTCTCAGAGATGTGTCTTCTCCATAGAGATCTCTCACCCTTCCTGTCCACAAGCTTCCAGGTGAAACTGTTTCTCTCCAGCCTCACATACAGCCCACGGTGTAAGGACTTTCAAATCTATATTCCCGACCTTGACTTCACACTGGCCCTGCTGCCTTGTATCATCACTGAGCACTTCCCTTTTCACACCTGCCTTTAGTCTCAAGCTAAGTGCTAATCAAAGCTGGCACAGTCTCCGTGTTCTTGGAACTCCCATGGGACATGGGATCTTTTCCATGTGTACATCGATTTTCTTCAATGAAATTAGGAGCATCTGAAAGGCTAGAATCTCACCTTACATTCCACTAGTATACCATTCATCCATTTAAACATTTATTGAGTACCTACTGTGTGCCAGACACCTTGCTAAGTCCATTACACCATGTTCTCTTTTCATTGTCCCAGAGCTCTGTGCACAGGATACCCTTTCCACAGACCACCTGGCCAATAACAGGTAGAGCCCCAATGTGCTCTCAGATCTGACTCCATAGCCTGTGCTCTTAAATACCCTTCCTCTTGTAGAGAGAAATAAATGGAAATACAAGTTGGTGATGGGACTTTGCTATCATCAAAGTGAGTTCCATAGCATCATGCTTGGGACAGATTAGGTTTTATTATTACCTCTGCTGTTTGTAACAGAGCAAACTTGGGCAAAATGATTAACTTTGCTCACTCTCATAGTCTTATCAGTAAAAAGGGGCAATACTGCCTACCACAAAGGTTATTAAGATGAGATAAGCTCATGTGTGTAAAATACTTAATATAGTAGCCAGTACATAGAACACACTCAGCGAATCTTAGCTACTATTCTTCTTGGTCCCAGTGTCTAGTGGTGCATCTGACAGAACGCTGGAGAAGGTGGCAAGAGCCTTATATTCAGTATTATGAAAACTTACCCCCTAAAGGCTCCAGAGGAGCCACTAATGTTATAAACAAAAGACTAATACAATATGGTATGTTCTAGAGATATCACTCTGGTGGTAAAGTAGTGAATAAATTGCCAGGGAGAGAGACTAAGGGCAGAAAGTCTAGTTCAGGAGTTATTTATTAATCTAAGATATTTCTGGCTCTAAGATAATCGCCCTAGAGATGGAAAGAAGTGGATGTAATTTGGAATATTACAAAGGACTTGTAGGAAAATGTGAAGGCATCCAAAGAGTTAAAAAACGGCTCAGGTTTCTAGGTTTGTCAACTGGTTAACGGTAATACCAACCACTATTCCTCCACGTAAGAGTCAGGGCTAATAGAGAAGTCTAGATCCCTGTTCATTTCCTCTGGAAACAGCAAACGATGGGGGAAAAACAGAGAGAGATTGGAGCAAGACACTGAGTCAAGGAGATAAAAAAGTAGCTGGACAAAAGAGAGTGAAGGAATAGAGGGATATTGATACTCTGGGCCACCAGCGAGGGTGGCGATGTAAGGTTACTACAGTGTAAAGCTGTTTCCTGGTGGGCTGGTTAAGGCCCACCTGGAGTGGCCGTTAAGTGGCTTCACCTACGGAGGCTGAGTCCGGTGGAGTCCAAGACCTGGAGATGCTGGTAATGGTGGGCCTGGTCTGCCAGCACCTTCTGTGACCTCACACTCTCTAGTCGGAGAGGGCAGCATTCTTCAGTGAGATACCAACAGGCCTCCCGTAAAAGTCTCCATTGAGCGACTACGGATTCCTAAGGGAATGCTAGCCCAAATGAATGAACTAAGGGACCCTTCCCAAGAAATGGAGACAGCACCCTCCTCCAGGAGACAACTGGTCTGAGGCCTAGCGAGGGTTCAAACTCAACAAGCGCTCTTAATCTTCTTGACTGAATATATGGAGAAAGTACATCTACATGTAACATTGAATTATTTTATTCTGTTCTAGGAATATTTAATCTCACATACACTTGGAAGCCCAGGTATTTGCAGCAAGTGTTGGATAACCAGAAATCTGCGTTGAATATATACACACCATCTGCTTTGAAGGGCTGGTTTTTCGTTCCCATTGAGTCTGCATCAAAAGGCAGCAGCAGATGGGCTGACTAAAATCTTAGTGGCTAATTTGAACCGATCTTGTATCACATAGATGTTGCAGTGAAGAAACTATGTGTGGGCATACTTCCTTATTGAAGCAGAAACTGAATTCTAGAAAGGAACCCATTTTCTCAGCTGGAAGTGGAAACAAAAATATGGCCCTATTTTGAGATTCGTGAGATGAGAGTTCCCAAAATGATGCCCACCAAGTCCTCAGGAAACAGTCTTTCCATCTGTGTGCCAATCACAAGAGATATTAAACATTTTTACAGCAAATTAGAGGATATGTTGGCTGGTCATTAAGCCACAGCATGAATGAGCCGACACCTTTGGGCTCCTAGAAGCCAGAATTGAGGCCAAAAATAAAATACATCTACATATATCACTATAGACTGAATGACTGTGTTCCCCCAAATTTCAAATGTTGAAATCCTACCACTTACTGTGATAGTACTAGAAGGCGGGGCCTTTGGGAGGCGATTGGGTCTTGAGGGTGGAGCCCTCAGGAATGGGATTAGTGCCCTTAGAAGAGAGACCCGAGAGAGTTCCTCTGCCCCTTACACCCTCTGAGGATGCAGTGAGGGGATGGTCCCTCATGAATCACCATAGGGGCTTTCACCAGATCTCAAATCTGCCCAGTACTCTGCTCTTAGACTTTCAGCCTCCAGAGCCATGAGAAATAAATTTCTATTGTGTATAAGTCACTCAGCCTATGGTATTTTTGTTACAGTAGCTCAAAGACACGTGTCAATGAAAAATTCAAGAGCAAAAAACCAGGTTTCATGGCCCTCTTCGCTTTCATGGTGACCGCTCAACTAATTCTTTAAGAAAATGTGGCTTTAAAAACTTCCTTATGTTCAGAGCACTTTATCTGCTCAAACTCCCCACTGCAAGGCAGAAGGTATAAAGGTAATTGAAAGGCCAGCTTTTGCCGGAATAGTAACGAAGGCCAGAAGGGGCCAGGTGCCTGGCTGCTCACAATGGGAGCCGTGAGAAAAGGAAGGCACTTCAAGAGACCCTTGAACATGTGCAGCACAAATCAAAAGCTGTAGAAGAGATATTGTCTGTGCTGACTGTCATGAATAATGCTTTTTGCAAGCTGTTTCTTTGGTGAAGCAACTAATGATAAATTCACCTCTCTCACACGGTTCTGCCTTCTTTTTCCATGGCCGGAAGGCAAGGCAAAGAGGCACAAAGCAAAGAGACCCTCCCCACTATGGGTCAGGCCTTGGAGATTGGTCAGAAGCCATGAATCACTCACTTACATGTTCAGGGAAAGAAAGTTGCCCTGTCACCTGAATTTCCTGCCCACCCAGCCACCCACCCACCTTCTGGCTAGAACTCATTTTACAATAATTAGTCATCACACCTCCCCCTTTTATACTCAGAGTCTTAAATGATGTCACTTCTCATCCCATCACTAAAAACCACAAATACCTCTCTTAGAAGTCCCTGACCGTCGTAGGAATCAACAAGTAACACAAAACAAGGCTCTCAGGCTGTATCTCTGCAGCACGGCCAGGTAGTACCTCTGCCCTTCTTACCTGGCTTCTAGAAGTGTCAAAGTACTGCCTGGTGAATGCCAGGATATCTTCCATCTCATTCTGTGAAAGGAAATCGGAGTCTTCATCCTGCCTGAGGCTGAGGAGGCTGTGTAGGTAAAATTTATACTCTTTATTACTCATGTTGAGTTTGGAAGAGCAGATCTCTTCCTGATGAATAATGTAATAGAGGAGAAGAACAGAAGCTCTCTGGACCACTTCCTCTCTCAGCTGATCCTCAACGTCTCCTCCAGCTATTAGCAACAGGGCATCTGGTTCAAAGCACTGTTCCGAAAACAAACAAAAATAAATAAAGAAAACAAAAGGAGAAACAAAGTTTAGCGAAGAGTCCTAGAACGCTAATGACCACTGGATCTCCAGTGCTTATTAGTTTATGAAAAAGAGGGGAACATAGTAGGTCTAACATCCAGCTTCAAATAAGACAGTCATGGCTGGACTTCTATACACCGATGCTGCCCTTCCAGGGAGCCCTTATTCCCTGAGAAGAGTCTCTCTATCTCTAGGTGTCCATCTGCTGCCTTGAGTAAAACCAGTTGGCTCTTTGGCTTTTAAAGTAATGACCCCACTGCATTTAGAATGAACTTCCAGCTCCATACAATTTTCTCTTTAGTCTGGCCCTTGCCTGCCTACCTCCCTTGTCTTGCCTTAGTCTCTTTCCACGTCCCTCACTACCCTTCTGCCCCTGTGATTGTCCATCAGTTCCACCACGCTCTTCCTACCATCTTTCAGGTCTCCCTCCCCCTCATTCCTCAGATCTCAGCTTAAAGAGATACCCCCTTGGGGACCCACACTCTATCCAAAGTAGAAAGCCCCAACCTCTGTCCCAAGTTCTCCAGCAGAGCACTGTCCGACAGAAACATAACCCCAGCCACAGAGGTGAGTCACACATCACTTTAAATTTTCAAGTAGCCACACTTTAAAAAATGAAATTAATTTTAATAATGTATTTAATAATGTGTCTTTATATATATTTTAATGTTGTCTTTATTTCTGAGACAGAGAGAGACAGCATGAGCAGGGGAGGGCCAGAGAGAGAGGGAGACACAGAATCAGAAGCAGGCTCCAGGCTCTGAGCTAGCTGACAGCACAAAGCCCAACCCGGGATTCAAACCCACTAACCATCAGATCATGACCTGGGCCGAAGTTGGAGGCTTAACCAACTGAGCCATCCACCCAGGCGTCCCTTAATAATGTGTCTAATTGAAACCTAAATATGTCAGATATGATCACTTCAATGGGTTATCAAAATTTTTAAAAATTACGTATGAGCCATTTGACATTTTGTCATGCTACGTCTTCAAAATCTAGTGTGTACTTTACACTTACCAGCACATCTCGATTCAGACGAGCCATGTATCAAGTGCCCAACAGTCACACATGGCTAGTAGCAGCATACACCATGTTTATTTTCTCTGTAGCACTAGTGTTCTAAAATTACTTTCTCTCCATGTTTATTTTCTCTCTTCCTTCGAGAACAAGTAAGTGATCCATGAAGGCCAGGTTTTGTCTGTGTGCGGTTCTATCCTCAGCGTCTAGCACAACGCCTGGCACTTACGAGGCATGAAATGGAATGAACGAACGCCATCTGCTTCACCTTTATCCTACCTAAGAGAACTACTAAAAAATACTTCCACGATGCTTTATTTGTTTCACACCCACAGCAGGACGCCTGGTACATCTAATCTGGGAAGTCTACATGGCAGAAGGTGTTTTGGGTAATGGGATGGGACAATGAGAAAAAGATACACACAGGGTTGTGGAAGGGAAGCTCTCCCCAAAGACAGGAGCTGCCTTACTTCAAAGATCGTGGGGAGCTCCCAGGATTCTCCTAGGATCCCAGAGGCAGCCTGCCACACAGCTCAGCCACAGAATGAAAGCATGGAGGGATGCCTGTCCTGAGCCCCAGAAGGACTTTTCCCAATGTGGGACAATTTACTACAGTATCTTTTAATCTATTCTCTGAGGTGGAAGTTTGAGGTGTCCTAATTCCATGTATGTGTTGTCCCACTGGATAACACATGGGACATACCATCTGAGTTAGGAAGAAACACGTCATCTGTCTCCAAAGCAAAGCATTAATCATGTTCTTCACAAGTCATACAGATTCCGTTCTCTCCCCAACTCAACTGCAATGGGATAAGAGCTCAGCAAACAGAGGGACACTGGCTTCCCACCAAGTCACTCAGTGTGACTACTAAGCTCCACCACGGAAACCACCCCTGCACTTTCCTGTTTCCTGACTGGCAGACAAGAAAAGTCCATGGGTTGGTGGCTATTGGCAGGGCTGACACCAAAACTCAAGGAAGAGGATCAATTGAAACAAAACTGTAATCAAGCCTTTCTTTGTAACCTACAACCTCCTAAAACCAAACTATTGGTAATATTAGCTCCCCTTTACTGGAGGCCATGTGCCCAGGATAGTGCTATGCACCTTATCTAATTGGGCATTCCTCAGCATATAAACCTGATCAGTTCTGGGGGGGAAAATGTCAGATAATGAGTTTTTTGAAACTAAGAACATTATTCCAGTATTTTAAATGGAAAAACATGGCCCCAGCCTATCTGATAACCCACCAACTATTTCTGCAATAAAGCAAAGCATTTAGAATACCAATTACTCAATTATTTGATGCCTAGTGAATTAAATAATGGGTATACCTGTGTGTACAGAATCCAGCATGGGGTATGTTCTCCTTCTATAAGGAAGGAATACCTATAGCATATGTGAAAACCAAGTCTGAGGAAGGGTAAGTAATGTCCCCAAAGTCACAAAGCTAATAGGGTTGTCCAATCTTAATTCCTACTCTGTCAATGATTTGCTTTATTTGCTCATCCCTTTGTTTTGTGCCATGAAGGATGTAAGCTGTAGACCCACCTATGTACTTAATGTGCAACCCCTCTGACCAGTAATTTTCTCTCCCTCCTCTTTGATGGAAAAAGAGGTCAATCAGGAGGCCAAGTCATTGGTAAGACTCTGATATAAACCAAAGAGAGAATATAGTACAACTTAAAGACTGAATGAGTTTCTATTGAGAGATTTTCAGATGCTTTTTAGGCTATTTGATGAGGTTGAGTAAGTAGGAAAAAAATATCAGTAACACGAGAAATGAGGCCACCAGAGGAGACACATGTGGCCAGGGCTTAGTTGATAACAAACAACAGAGTATATGGCTACACCTCATCCCATATGATGTGCCCAAGACCCTGTCCATTTGTGGTTCCTCCTCAATGTACCTTTCTAGGACTGGAGTAGGAGGGATGTGGCCTGGGGCAGCAGGTAATAGGGTAAGATCTGTAATCATACCAATGTTCACTCCAGAAGTGGTTTATAAAAAGCATACAACATGGAAGGTAAATTGATTTCTGGCTGATAATTTTTAAATAGCTGTAAAGCATCTCATTTTCTCGGACTAGAGATTTCAGTCATCTTGAGTGAACAGAAGTTGCCTAAGCCTTGCTTTAATTTTTTGAGGCCTGCTGGAATAAAACTCAGTTGTGAATCAAATGACCATGGGCTGAAAACTTCCTGCCCCTTTACAATATTTTATTCTTTTTTTTTACATTTGCTTATTTTTGAGAAAGTGCAAGTGGGGGAGGAGCAGAGAAGGGGGGGTAGAGGATCTGAAGCCAGCTCTGCACTGACAGCAGCAAGCCTGATATAGGGCTTGAACTCACAAACTAAGAAATCATGACTTGAGCCAAAGTTGGATCCTCAACTGACTGAGCCACTCAGGTGCCCCCAAGGTATTTGATTCTTAAAGAAGTTACGGAAGACAGTGGCTTGAGGAAAGAATACTGTAGAGAACACCAGAAAATCTAACAGACACTGACATGGCAAAAAGCACTGTAGGGGTTGATGGCAGACTGGACTTTCTAGTTCATCATCACTAGATTTCTTTCCGTTGTTAGAGCTTTTAGCAGTGGCTAGGTTGTGTTTGCGGGAGGGCGTGTAGTCAAATTTTGCAAATACTTCCACCTCATAGGCATCAAGATCCATCCAAAGCGTGGACCCTGGTGAAGTGATTCTTTGTTAAAGAAGAATGGACTCATTCAGGAATAATCCATCGATTTTCCTTGTAATCTTGTCATGTGGGGGCCCAAGTTTTCGGGGGGAAAACGCACGGACACTGGATTCCTAGAGCCAAATCAGATCGCCTCCCCCAGCTGCTGCATTCAGCTTTGTTCATAGCTTAGGCCAGGAGAGCATCTCAGTGATAAAAAGCAACAGGAAATCTTTCTTCTACGTTAATAGGAGTTGTTGGACTTGATCAACTTTAAAGTTTTTAGATCCAAAGATGCTTCAAGTTGATTTGGGGTTATGGATAAGTCCACTGGCCTTTTTCAAGTTCTTAGACTTTTATAAGGTCTTCTGGGGGAGGGAGATGTCTTAGGATTGACTATAAAAGGGAAATTATCTTTCTTCCTTTTCCCGGCAAACAGAGTTGGAGGGATGTTGGCTGACACAAAAAGGCACTGGCTTTTTGTGGACCCATAACCAGACTTTGTGGCGTTTCTGACTGACAAAGATGTGCGGCTTACTGAGAAGAGTTAAGAAAACCTTGTCAGAGCAACAACAAGCTAAGATAAAGCCCAATGCGGTCCACTCTTTATGCCATGGCAGATGAGACAAATGGAGGAAGGAGGCTGAATTAAGTGCAGGACCTTAAAGCAGTGGTTCTCTACCTTGAATGTGTCTGAGTGTCTCCTGAAGATCGTGAATAAAAACCCTAAGGCCCTGGGACAGTTGGTGGGGGGTGGGGTCTGGGGAGGCGGCAGGAGTATCTTATTTCTCTGAAGCACTGAGTTGGATGTGTCCATAACATACAGGAAATGTGAGGGCACAGAGAGAGCTTGCGCTTTCCTGCCCCAGCCTGTTCATACATGGCCTGTGGTCATCACAGAGAGCTCTGAGGACAGGACCAGCACTTTGGTCTTACAGATGAGGACGCTGAGGTTCAGCATGTCCTAACAGCTGGAAAGTGCCAGAACAAGGATTTGGGCCCAGGGCGGGCCGACTCTTGTCCCTTCACCACTTCCGGAACCCATGTAGGGTCATGGTTCTCCTCATTACTGAAGTGGAATTCATTCTCTGAAAGTTACTTAATCCCTCATTAAAGTCATTAAAACTCCATTCTAACCCTTCTCATTGAAAAAAAGAAAAAAGGCCACAATCAGGCAAGACTGTCCATTTTCAAAGGCTGAAGCTTGAAAGGATTTACTTTTAAGTGCTCTGTGCAGATACTTCAGATTGACCTAAACACACACACACACACACACACACACACACACAAACCAATCAGTTTTTACCTAACATACAATCAGAAACTTTTTATCTCCCCCCAAATTTAAGCCACTCACTTCTCTCTTTTTTTTTCAGACATTTGGGGATGTGAATTCATCCCCTTGCTGTCTTTTTACCACAGAATTTCTAATCTACACCTTGCCTCTAACTGGACAAAGTCCCTAAAAAGACATGAAAGATTCAACAAGAAGCTGAAGCCTGTTCTTTGTACAGATGCTTGTGAAATCACCAGGTACTGTTTCTCCCTGCTTTTTATGAATGACGTGGAGAGATTTCATGCGATCCCTGCTTGTGGGTGATTCAGGTGAATTATAGCCCTCTGAGCAGGGAAAGCTGAAATTTGCCTTTATTTTTTAAAATTGATTATTTATTTTGAAAGGGGGGCGGACAGAGAGGAGAGAGAGAGTATCCCAAGCAGGCTCAGCACTGCCAGCACAGAGCCCAACACGGGGCTCAAACTCATGAACGGTGAGATCATGACCTGAACTGAAGTCAAGAGACACAAGGAACTGACTGCGCCACCCAGGCCCCGTAACTTTTTTTTTTTTTTTTTTTAACCTCAGTCTTTTACACAAGGAACTAGCTGCAGCAAGAGGGCGAAGCTATTGGAGACTGTGTTCCACTTCATAGGGATAGAAATAGCTCAAACGGAAGCTAAACTGGCCAAACTCTCGATAATGTCACAGAAAACAGAAAGTGCAAAACAACGACTCCCTCTGAAAACAAAACAAAACGAAACACAGAACAATTTTGCATGTTTACATTCCCCCTAGCTAGACTAATATTCTACCAGCCTTAATAAGGCACTTTATGTCATCAGAGGAGAACATTTCCCCGCAGCAAATTCTCAGAGGACATTAATAAGACATGACTCCTACTTATTTCCATGGGGAAGACTTATGTTGCTATATATATAAATTAATGTCATCACAGATGAGTTGCCTATTATAACACATGTTTTCTCTGGGAACCCTTGGGAATTTCACTTATTATTGAATTATTTACTGTTTGCACAGAGCAGAGACAAATTCTATTAGCAAGACCCTTCTGTCATGAAAAAAACAAAAAAAAAAAAACAGAAAAAACAAAAACACTTGGCCAGGAAATGTTTTCCCTAGAACTGAGCGTGACTGAGAAAGTCTGTCAAACTTTTTTTTCCTGGACGCAGTTATTAGATTTATGTATTTATTTATTTATTTATGCATGTCTTCATTTATTTATTTGTAGGTTCATTCTGGAAAAAAACATCACATCAGTCAGGAAAGGGATGGTGAAGCGTGTTTTTGTCTATACTTGTGTGTAATCGTTTTAAGACATGGGCTCCTACCTCTGGTGCTGCTCCTGTCTCCCCCCACCCCCCACCAGAGACATTCCGATTCTACATTCAATGTTGAATTTACATTAATGTGGATTTTACATTCACATGACCTGCAGATATATTTTTTTTTAATTCCATCCCACGCAAGTTAATTCAGTCTCATCTATGGAGGAAGGGGACCTGACGTACTATTTGGTGAAAATAGCCCAGGCAATGCTGAGGTATAGCCAGGGTGTGAGGGTCACCTGGCAAAACAGGGGAAGGCTGGGAATGGGGTCCCAGGACCATAGACCTCCTTTTAGCTCAGATACCTCATTTTTAAGAGGATAATTCTCTAATTCATTAACTGCCCACCGTGCAAAGTACTAGAAAACACCAATCAGCAATCAAGCTAGAGTACTTAAAAATTTGACACTAGGTGTGCTTGGGTGGCACCGTCAGTTGAGCATGTGAGTCTTAATTATGGCTCAGGTCATAATCTCACAGCGGTGGGATCAAGTCCCAAGTTGGACTCAGCATGGAGCGTAGAGCATGCCTGGGATTCTCCCTCTCTCCCTGCTCTCCTGCTGCCCCCCCCCCCCGCTCATGCACATGACGCTCTCTCTCTCAAAATAAATAAATAAACTTAAAAAATTCAACATTAGACAAATATCACATCACTATCATTATACCTTCAAAAACAAATAGCATCTAACCAGTGAATCAGAAAGAAGAGAGAACTGAAAGTTCACACCTGTGGGGCACCTGGGTGACTCTGTTGATCAAGTGTCCAACTCTTGATTTTGGCTCAGGTCATGATCCCAGGGTTGTGGGATCAAGCCCCGCATCAGACTCTGCTCTGAGCATGGAGCCTGCTTATGATTCTCCCCCTCTCTTGCTCTCTTTCCCTCTCTCTCTCTCTCTCTGTCTCCTCCCCTTGGGCACCCCCACCCCGAGTTTGTGCGTGCATGCTCTTTCTCTCTCTCTCTCTTAAAAAGTTCACACTTATAACTAAATACCTCTAAACATGCAGAAGGGTCGTAGAAAGGCTTCCATAAACATTACCATTTTAATAAAACAAGATCCTCCCTGTTTTCAAATACCATTTGTAGAATGCTGAATGACTTGTTGTATCCTAAATACGGGACACAGGATACCACAAGGCACTGCCCACTTGGGCACCGCATTTGACTCTGCCTCACTGAAGTAAATGGCTGGAGAAGCCATTGCTCCTTTTCGAACATGCCCCGGTACCTAATCCCATGCTGTTGCACTGACCAGATTGCAGTCTCCTTGCGTTCCGTGTGACCTCCGCGGGCAGCCAGCTTTCTCCAACAACGTTTTCAAGAGGCTTCCAGAATGGTTCCGGGGTGGGGGGGGGCCAGCAGAGAGAGCTCGGAGTACTGCCGTCAGGTGGCCTGAATTCCAGGTGCTGCTGCTGCTCTCCTGGGTCGAGTGTCTTTCTGTCTCAGTAGAGGGAACAAGGCTGAGTAGAAGGAAAAACGGCCCCCCACACCCCGGAAGCTTTGTCCAGAAGCGCATTTCCACTCTTCCTTTACCTCGAGTCAACGGCTGATGGAGTGGGGCAGCTTGCTGTTCACCGTGTAAAACTTGTAAGGGGAGGAATTTCTGTGGTAAAGGGGAAAATTAAAGGCTTTAATGACTGGGCCTGCAACATGTTTGAAAGGATTCATTAATTGGGTGGCTAAGCTGATTTGCAACAGCAAGCTGTTTCTGAACAGTAGGGGGTCTGTGGGTCAGTTATGACCCTGAAGAGCAGGAAACTATCATGGCTGTAGACTTTCGATCTGTAGACCAGCCCAGAAGTCTGTCACACTGCCTCTCTCTAAAATAAAAAGAGTAAAAAAGTTAGGAAGGGTAAGTTTCTCTGTTCATCTTGCAGGAAGTACAAGTCACAGGACCCACATAGGAAGTACCCTCATTTTATCCCATCCTAACATAGAACGCTGTGAAATAAGGTCCTTATCACTTGAGTAAGTAAATAAAAATAAAGAGAAAATAAATTTTTTTTATTTTTAAAATTTTTTAAATGTTTATTTCTGAGAGAGAGAGAGTATGAACGAGGAAGGTGCAAGAGAGAGAGGGAGACACAGAATCTGAAGCAGGCTCCAGCTCAGAGCCCGACAAGGGGCTCGAACTCACGAACCGTGACCTGAGCCAAAGTCGATTGCTTAGCCAACTGAGCCACCCAGATGCCCCCGAGAAAAAAAATTCCTCAAATTGCCCATATTATGTTGGATGAGAAGATTTTAGATAAGGAAGGGTACTACAGAAGAAAACAGTCACGCCCAGAAAACACTGGTCAGTTTTCAGTTTTTAGTTTATTAAAAGTACAAACTAACAGAAAAACAAGAGCGTTTCTAGACTGCAAGAGCCACAATAAATCCACACTCAGTGGTCACTAAAAGCATAGGGGACAATGTTAGAGCCAATCAGCCTTCTTAAAAAAAAAAAAATTAATCTCTTCAATCTGCTGGTTAAAGAATGCAAAGTGTTAACGGCATCTCATGACAGATCTCGGCCCAGAGATGAGCTAATAATGACTGTGGGGTAGTAACAAAGACACTGGGATTTCTTTTATGATTTAAAAAAGAGAGAGAGAAAGAGAGAGGTTAAGATTCCTATGTTAGCATTAAAAAATGACAGAGGATGATACAAACATTTCTAAACGCAGTGCTTACCGTTAGGAAGAAAGATAAATGATTATTTATCCGGAGCTCTGTGGCCTTTTAAATCTTGGAGACTGTTTTGTGATTACAAAGTCCTCTGTTTTTAAAATTCCTTGACTGTGCACTAGAAGCTGGAGAGGATTATTTCAACCCAGAGAAGTTTTTGGTTGCTGTGGAGAAAACTGCTCTGGAGATACCAATGAAGGCGGATAAAAGTGAGAACTTTCTGTCTGGCAGACTTTCAGGAAAAATCAAATAAAAGTGGCTAATGAACCTAACATTTTAGATCGGTATTAACCACTTCTCTCAGAAGTCTAAGAAGATCCTAGAATTTCTTACCAGTCACTTGTCTGTTAAGGGACAGATCTAGGTCAAAGGATTCCACCTTGCGGAACGGAAAGGCTTTAGTGTTAGAAAGAGATATTTTTTTCCTTCCCAGTGGATTCTCTAACTTTTATCGACCCTCAGACCAAAGATTTATTGGAAAAGTAAGCTCCTTAAAATCTTAATTTTATAAGGTGCAGAGGCTTAAAAGATTTAAGGCATTCGAAAATCTGTATTAAAAAAAAAAAGATGTCTTCAAACAAGAGGAAAAGTATTTGTTGGAAGCATAAAGTTCTTACCTGGGAAGTAAGTGGATGGGGGCGGGGGGGGGGGGCTTTAATTAGCATGTATATTCTGATCCCAGAGTCTGTAGTAGAAGCTCCCTGAGAAACAAGCTCTCGGCAAATTCTTAATGAAGGACGGACTGAAAGAACAAAGTGGTAAATTGTACAGGAGGTAAGAAGTTAAAATCCACGATTTCAAAATGCACAGAGTGAATGTATTTGGCACATGGTCCATGGAAAACAAAGAGAAGCTGAAGAATGAAGGGAAGGAACGGAGTTCGGAGTTCAGGTCCGGGGATGGGCGTGGGTGGGGGAGGGGGCTTCTGGAAGGAGGCGCGGGAAATGAAAAGGGAAAGAAATGGGGTGGATTAGCTCCTCCGTCACTAATTGGATATGAAAACTGGCGGCGGCAGCGTGACATAATCCTAAGAGAACGCTGGTAATACTCACAGAAACGTGGAAGGCAAATGCTCCCAGAAAAGCCCAGCTTCTCTTTAATTGCATATCACGGAGCCCTTGGATTTGCCTCAACTGTCAAGGGCAGAGACTTGGCCTGTTTCTCCTGAGCTCTCTGGTGACGTGAGCTGCAGTCAGGGTCCAGAACCGTCCGTCCAGCAGAGGAGCGAGGGGCTGGTCAGGACCCCCCAGCTGTGACCCGAGTCGGGGCAGGGAAGGGAGTGGGCGCAGGACGGAGGCACATGGACAACGCCGCCTCCATCCCCGCGCGGGAGACCGTCTCAGCCCCATCGGTCTCGGGGACTGGCTGAGACGTGACTAAAGCAAAGTCGTCCCAAACCTGCTGAGCACACGATCACGTCCCAGCGTGCGTGCTACCTTTCCGTGCCTCGGCTGGACCGTGTTTCTGGAACTGAGCCCTGGCTTCCCGCCCCGCCCCAAACGAGCAGGTGCTGAATCTGCCTTCCCTGCCCGGGTCTCATTGCATAGCCTGCCCAGTTGCCGCGGACCCGGATCTTGATTTGCTCTAACCGGTGGTGCAGGACAGCGCCCCATTCGAGACTTTTGGAAACTTTTTCCCGATTCCCCTATGCCGATGTCCACCCCGGAAGTCCTAGTTCCTAGCCTCACGCGTGGCCCTGCACGTGACTTCCTGCAGGACTTCTCAGCGGCTCCCACCACCTCCAGCCAGCCTACCCACAGGCGCGCCACCCCGCACTCGGTGAACCGCCCCCCGCCTGCTCTGTTGGCCCCTGGGGCTGGCCGCACTCCCACAGTCAGCCACCCACCACGTCCCCGTCCCTGTCCCTGTTGAGACGACGTTAACGCGGGGCAGGGAGAAGCCCTGCATGTGGCCTGCAAGTCCAGCCACGGCGCGGGGGACAGGCAGGCAGCTCGCGAGACAGTAGGAGTAATAAAGGGTGACAAGACACTTAGCGGAACATGGCGGTGTCACCTCCTCCTGACGCTGGGTTGTAGCCGTCTGCTTCCCCCGCAAGCTTGAAACCAACCCTTCTCAAACATGCTTGTATCTGCAATCCGAGCCAACCTCTAGGGGTAATGGGTTTCAGATGTTAGCTGGGCAAATGCATAAAGAAGGCGCTAATTAACTCCTGATTGATAGTTACAAGGCATTTAGCCCCCTTGGGACCGCTCTCATCTGATGCAGTATTTCTTGATACAGATAATTTGTGTCATCACAGGACGATGTAGTGGAGGAAGTGGGAGGGCAGGTGGGGACTGACCAGTCCTTCCTTCAGTGTGGATTCTGCGTCTTTTGGTATATCCTGCGTTTCAACTTGTTCTTCAAGTCTTATAAAGTATTGCCATGTATACCCTGGCTTGGTGTAGAAAGAGTTTAAAGGGGCCCCCCGGGGAAATGTAAAATACGGGAGGGCAGCAATTTAAGACGCTGAAACCAGGAGAAAGCCACCTTACGGGTATAGTTTTGAACTGCCCAGTACAGTTTTGCAGGTTGTGCGTAGAACAACTTTAGGGATCACCATTCACTTCCGTAGTCATCACAGATTTTATAGATCTATTTCAATGATTTCCCAGCAAATTTCCTCAGGAAAGGAGGCTTGGAGCTGGTGACAGAGTTGTGTGAGTGCCTCTTTGGCATTCAGCCTCGTGGGGCCATCTCTGGCAGTAATAGGAACTCTAAGCTACCTCTGGGCCCAGTTTCTCCCCATGTGCTCCTTTACATGGTCTTCTTCCCTCTTTTTCCTAGACACTAAACTCTCTAAATAATACTTTATTATTATTATTAATATTAAAAAATAATAATGTTTATTAACATTTTTTTGAGTGTCTTTTATGCCTAGGCACTGTGCTAAGCAACTTCACATATATTTTCCTCACATTATATCAATGGAAACTACTGAATTCACTGGACATCTCAGAAATACTCAGTGTCACACAGATCGTAGGTGCCACCAGAAATCCAGCCCCGTCCACACTGAAACTGGTATTTACACCACCGAGCAGCCTTCGGTTGGGATGAGATCCCTTGCTTCTATTAGTAGGTGCAAGCTTCTCTTACAGCACAGCAAGGGGAAACACACCAAGGACTCCGATGAGAGCCCATCATTAAGGAAATAATCGGCTACATTCTGATTTTTCAATTCTTCCCCAGACCTTTCAGCCCAAAAATTCCCAGAGGAAAAAAAATTTAAGCAAATATAGAACTTTAAAACCAACAGAATCTCAGGCTCTACTTTTCAGGAATACCTAATGGGGCAACCTACCAGCATGTGAGATAAATGCAACTTGTTCACCAAACGATTTCTCAGAGGAAAAGCAGAATATTCCACCGAGAAGACAGCCCCTCCAGGGTAAGGACTACCTTACAACACTTCTGATTCTGTGACACGGCCAGCATCACTGTAGTAACATTAGAAAATGTCAATTGTCTTGAATTCAGACCCTGTGGCCATCTTTGATTTGGAAGAGGATAGTAAACGTGATTCTTAGAGGAAACATAAATTTCATGTGCAGCTTTCAAACAACATTTTTCTTCTCCTTAGGAAAGAAAGCCATATATGATCACTAATTTAAAAATTAGAGGGTTGCCTGGGGGGGCTCAGTCAGTTAAATGTCTGACTTTGGCTCAGGTCATGATCTCATGGTTGGTGGGTTCGAGTCCTGTATCAGGCTCTGTGCAGACAGCTCAGAGCCTGGAGCTTGTTTCATATTGTGTCTCCCTCTCTCTCTGCCCCTCCCCCACTCATGCTCTGTCTCTAGCTCTCAAAAAATGAATAGACGTTAAAAAATTTTTTTAATTAAAAAATAAAAAATAAACTACAGAAAACACCTAAGAGTATAAAAAAAAAGTGCTCCATGTATAATAAGTTACCTTTTAGTTTACCTCTTTTTATTATT